AATAACAGCCAAAAAGTCATGATTTTTGCTGTCTGAGTATATAGGAGAGACAAATCCAGGATGATTCAAGTTTATCAAAAACATCGGAAAGAAAATTCTTTCAATTCAATCAGCATTATAATGCAGATGTTTCTGTACACGATGATCTTTCATTGCTAAACTTGATCCATTAGAACGATTCAAACGTAATGAACTACTTTATGAGTTACTGAATCAAGACCTTTTACTGCCAATAATACAGGCTGGGTCTGCCGACTATTCGAAATAGTCAAAGCTGATCGTATCCACCATCGCAAGTTATCGAACATTATCGAGTTTCGATCAGATACACAGATTTCATCAATTTCTGACATTGGAATTCCATAGTAAGCGTGTGATTTCTCAGAAAAACTCAGACGGTGTCTGATATTCATGACTTTGACAGAATCATATTGCAAGCTGTCGGAGTTCCTATCATCGAATTGTGATAGGTAGATTTGACTACGCCCTACTCGTTTTCGTGGATTTATTCGTATTTCCACGCAATGACACTGATTAATCCGAATGTACCGATCTATCCATGGCATCAATGCCATGGTGATACTCATTAGACAGAGGAAATGCGTCAAATCGTGTCGTTGATTAAGCCATCATAGTGGTGTAAAAGATGACAAAACAGTAACGAAATATGTTATCAACAGTACTGTGGTTCTTATCTAAAAGACAAAGTTTCAATAGATTAGAAAGAGTTTCTCTTCTCTAGAGATATGTTACAATATTAGACCTTATACTTTGAAATAGATTATTTAAAATTAATGAGCACGTATGGAAGAATGAAATACTCCAACATTTCTCTCTGTGGGTAAAGATGTGAAACTGGGTGCGAGTGTAGGTACGCGTAAAGATAAATCACCATCCAACCCATACCCACACTTGTCTGCACATATTTATTAGAAACTGAGAACAAGTCAACGCTCTCTACGCACTTTTGATCTTGTTTAACTTTTCTTTCACTTATCTCTCTGAATCTCATACCAACCAACTGACAACTAATCGAGTTTTCGAAGAGAAAACTGCACGCAAAGCGTAACATTATTTCAAGCGATGATTTTAGGGATTTCTTCAAGAAGAAAGGACAAAAAAAAAACAAAGTAAAGTAAAATTCTAGTTTGTTAGCCAGCAATGAAGTAGTACTCCAACATTTGAGTAACCAATCACATGTCTCTCTCGCAAACGATCGACATCCAATGAGGTTTTCTAGTTTCGACCTACAATATCCGCCACACTCTTTAAAGGAAGCAACGGTAGCTGATTCAATGGTGACAGCAAGAATCTCGGTACCAATTCAGTTTACAATCAAGTTTATGTGTGTTTTACACCAAAAATTAGTCGTTCATCCGAACATGATTTCGTGGTTGAATCAAATACTGTGATCAGTATTCACAAGATAAAATTCAACATAAAAATCAATTGTCGACGGCGAAAATCCGTCGCTATCAGAAGACACGTCCAAACGGTAAATTAAGCGTAGATGAAGATGTGAATACAAAGGGTTAATAAGACGAATGATAAGAAGTTGACGACTTAAATAACGGAAGTATTCACATGAAATTATCCATCAGTGCACTGACTATTGAGGATGACAATAAGAACGACGATGACTACAGTGGCGATTAACAAGCGAGCATGCCAAAAGATACCACGGATATGTGCAAGCACGATTCCTCGGCGACGATTTGAACATATCAACGTCACAATCAACAATAATAACATCAGCAAAACAAAAAAATCTTTGTAAGCCTAATGACTCAATCAACAAGAGCGGAATAAGCAACGCTATCTGTCAAGATCTAAGCCAAACCTTCGGGTTCTGTTGAAACGCTGCCACCATTGCAAAGTATTGCAGAGGCAATTATTCGTGGTGATCAAGCTAGCGTCTGACATGCATTGATAAAGAAAGAGACGGATTCAACTTTCATTGAAGAATTTCGACACTCAGATCGATTGTCAACAATAAGGAATCTCTTCGAACAGTTTCGCTAGGTTTTTTGCTCCTCACATCAGTATTTATTTATTCAAGCCAATGCTCTCCCTTGATTGTTTTCCACCTGTGCTTGTCATTCATGTTGCTTTCCTATTGATTATTATATTTTATTCTCTTTGTTATTCTTTCTACCTCTCTTAGTATTTTTGTGGGTTCATTTTCTTTCACACTTTTATTCTGTCCTTTGGTTAAGTCTTCACGCTTTAATTGTTTCATTGTAGTCTATTTGAAAGCACATGAATACATATTGGTGCTTTTATTGTGGCACACTAGGAGCAGATGTCTTCTTTTGAGCAGCAATCATGTCTTTTAAGAGACGATCGCGAACGATGTTCGCTTCCGTCCATCGACCGAGCCAATCCTTTTTGCGACGAAACGAATGCGGATGTCGTTGTTGTTCCAAGGCCACCATTTCGAAATGCTGTTTGAATATATGAGCATTGTGCACGATTTTCGTATGGCTACCACGCAATACAGGATAGCCGAAGCAGATGCTGCTACGTAAATGACTGCTGATTGTTAGATAGTCAGGATTCGGATTCGCAGTAGTGTCAACACTTGTTTTCGATTGTGGACGAGATCGTGGCACGAATTTGAGGTCAACATAGCGTGGTTCATCTTTGTCTCGATCGATGCTCGACGAATTTGATTGATGTCCAAGATTTTCTTGCAACTGAGATTTGTTCACATCAGTGTGATGGATACAGCCGTCTTTGATTGAATTTTTCTCCGAAGCCATTCGATGACTGGTGATTGTCAAGAAAGAAAATGAGAAAATGCCAAACACAATGTTGGTGGCTGTAATGTAACTCAGCCATTGTTCACGTTATTGACATTGACAATACACTTGACTCTTCAAGTTTATTGTAACGATAGAGGGTGCTGATAGTATATTTTGTGTATTCTTTCACATTTTAAGTTGATTAAATGATGTTTTCTTCTTAACTCTTGATTCTTATTCAAGCATGAATTGGAACTAATGTGCATTAATGAACGATCTTCTTAGTTTCAGTTGATGTTTATCGATTCTATTGATTTGATGAGTGTCGATGTATAAATTTGAATCTGCTAGAGTAACGTGACGAATCAGAATGACGGAATGTAAATCGGCTTCGACAAACAAAACATCGATCCCCTTCTGTTCTGTCAACTAAATATCAGCAGAAGAATGAAGAAAAGCGTTGATAAGCGAGATATTGTTGCCATCAGACTAAGTCATACAACAAGAGATCTCGATCAGAATACCCTCGAATATCACTATGTGGCTTCTTCTCTTCGTACTATTGTGCTCTTTAGGCAATACGTAATTGATCAGACAGTTACTTTTTAAGAACGTATGTTTGTATAGAGACAAATTAATTTGACAGGAGAAATTCATAGCGTAGATGAAGGAGTGGCTGAAGTAGAACAATCATGATAAATTCATGGGCGACAGCTAAAGTTAGTAGCTAGATATCTGAGCAACACAAGATGTGATGAGCGTCAAACAATTTTGACGAGAGCCACCAAGTTAATATTCAAATGAATAGCCTGAATTCAGCATAGCGCTTTGTCTTTAGATATCATAAATTTGCAATGGGCAAAATCAAGACAGTCTACTTACCCGTTCTTCATCGTTTTTGATAATCAGTAGTACATCACGAACATTGACCACAACTCGACGTCGTACTACAGATGGCCCTCTGCATTCCGATACATTAAGTGCAGGTGACATTGTTAGTATCATCATTGCCGTTGTTATACTCATTGGTTGCCTATCGATTAGTGCAAATTATATGCGTCGTCGTCGACTCATGCATTACTTTTACACCAACCAATACGAAACGATCTAAATTTTCTCGATCGGTTTAAGATTGAATGTACTTTTCTTGTTTTGGTAGTTTTAATTTTGACTGTAAAATTTATTTCTTTGATATTTACATCGATTATACAACCATAGATACTTCAATATTTCTACAGTTCCTATCCTACGACAATCATTAATTAATATTCATAAATGTACACAACAATTGATGCTGATCTGCATTAATATTAAAATTTTGCCACTTCATTGAAAAAAAAACAAAACGACTATTTTTCGATTCAACGTGTTCTTGTTGAGTAATCGGTCCTTGCGTAAAACATTGTCGTGGTTCAATGTATTATATCTAAAGGTTTGCAATGAGATTCGATCACAATGTTTATTCATTGATTATTAAGAGGCTTTGGGTGTGACTGTGGATGCAGTTCATGAGAAGACCCTTACCCCCAAAAATCCACACCTTCTAGCACCCCACGATTCTTTTCTATGAAACTAGAATATCTGCATCGCATATTCTGAAAGATGGAGTTCATGCTGCCAGATCAAAACGCATTTGAAGTTTTACTATGTTTATGCTACCAGAGACGCAATATTATTGAATCTATATATGAATCATGAGATCTTACCTCTTTTTCAGTTACCTGTAAAGAAAACTGAAAAAAAAACTAACAGGCATCTCAATTTTTTCTAACAAGTGAAAAAAATATAGAGTATTGTTGTTTGAATTTCATGCAATAATCATAGTACCAAAAATACATGAATAGAAAAAAGAAAGAAAAACGTCGGCAGCCTATACGTTGACGAACACTAACCGAACGAAAAAATACATTGATGCAAGGCACATTATAATACACCTTGAAAGTGTTTTATTTTAATTGGGTGTCAGACAGGAGTCGTTGAAAAAAAGGATTTTATTATGAATCATATGTAGCTGATAAAAATAGTACAGAAGGATCAGTAATAAAAGAATGATAAAAAATGCATATCTAGAAAAATTCGATCAGTATTTGAAACATTTTAAAGTTAATTCTTATGAGGTCGTACTCTCGATTGAGGTGCGAATGAGTGCGTTAGCATTGGTTAATTTAACTAACAAGAATAAAACTCAATATTTGAGAAAACATTACACGATTTCGACATGATTCTACTGAGAGAAATGTTGTTCGCATCGAGATCTACATCATCTGCCTAGATAATTTGAAGAATATAAGTTAAATCTTAAACATACATTGAAAAACAGACGTCATTAGAAAATAGAAGATTTTTGTTATACATAGTTAAGCCATTTGAAGCTATAACCGATTTGAAGAAAATGAATAAAGCTTTAGCTAAGTTTTGTTTATGAGTAAACTTGATTATTCTTGTGACAGATGGAACTTCTATATAAAATTAGTTCATTTTTGCTGTAATTTTCTCAAAACTTTTGTGCTAAAGATTTGAAGATAACACTTTTGAGTTTCCAACATCATCATTTTGTTGATTGTCCAACAAAATCTGACTGTGGGTGTGGGTTCTCTCGTTGCCTACATTCACACCCACACTTCGGAATCAAAATTCAATCGGCAATATACGTTCGATAATAAAAAATCGAATAAGTGGTTAAAACATTAGAAAAATCTTTGGGCTGCAACAAGAAATCCAAAAAGCATGAAACAAATTGTCGACTGACTTGGTCTTCAAATTAGTTGATTGTATAGAAAATACGTAAAGAATAGTCTATTAAAGCAAATGATGACTGCACATCGTATTAGAATAAATTATTTATGCCTACCATGTAATCAAAAACAAATTCGATAAAAACAATGCAGTATATAAAAAAAGAAAGATGGATTGGGAAAGACTTTTGTCCAGTACCAAATGAGAGCAAAGTTGTATGCTTTTATCGATATTCATCTCTTCACTGTGTCTTTGTCATAAATCATGTCATTACTATAAAGTTGAGTATATATAAACAGCTAACAACGACGAAGCCTGTACGTTCGTATTGCAGTGATGCTACATCTCAATCTTTTGTTATATTTTCAGATTTTCAGCCCAAGTGTAGAGAATTTTGAAGACGAATTGACCAGTAGTTTCCTACTACGAAATGATGCCAAACATTATTCAATGACCGAATGTACTTTACTCGAATTGGCTTCGGATTACATGAAGCTAGCTTACGGCGTAACCTCTGTTGACAATAATGTTACATATGGTCAATGTTCAGCAAGGTCTATTTACAAAGTTATCAATGCAGAATTAGATAAGCTCAAAATTAACAAAGAACGTTTGTACTCGGCGATTGAAGCTGTTGCTGAATTGAATAGGAAACGAGATCTTGTAGAAGCATTAAAGAAAGCAACCCATTTTCACAATGAAATATTTGATGGAGGTGCGATGCTACTCTTGTAAAGTTTAGATGCAGCCATATCAAGTATTCACATGAAAGATTATCAAAAAGCAAGAGAATCATTGGGTACTTTGCTACATACAGTCCAAGATTTCTACAGTCATTTGAATTAGATACAAAGTGGTCCTATAGAACCAAATAAGGGTATTGGTAAATATGAAATATTGAGAAAATATGCATCGACAGATATGCAAATGTGTGTCAACTGTCAAAACAATGCGTGTTGTACAAACATCGAACCATCGATTCTCATAGATAATATTTTGACTAGTGTCTATTTTAATTTGAGAATCATCGGTGACATATTAGACAAAGAACCAAAACCTGTGGGAAAGTGTAGTCACAGTGGATTGTTAGATTCTACATTTGACACAGATGCTCAAGGTGGTGGTATCAACAAGAATACACGCAAATCAGAAGATTGAAAATAATCTTGTTCGTGCAATTGCTTGGCTTGTTTGACAATCTACGAAATCTGACAGGAAATAGTTTGATTATTGTTATGGATACTACTGGTAGTATGGGGCCATATATTGACATGGCCAAAGAAATAGCTATTGGTATTGTTAATGCTCATCAATCATTGGAATATAAACTGAGCAGTTATATTTTATCACCTTTTAACGATCCAACAAATGGATTACTTATGATCAGTCTTCATCCTTTAAATTTCACAAATAAAATAAATAAACTGATACCTTACGATGGTGGCGATACACCGAAACTATATTACCATAGGATTCTTGGTGCACTCAAAGCTGTGAAGTAGGATCCTTTTTCTATGCCTTTACAGATGCACCTGCAAAAGTTGCCTACTTAAAAAATCAAGCAGTGCAATTAGCGAATGAGAAGTGTGTCACTGTCACTTTATGCTATGCTCAAAGTTTTCGAAAACAACAGTTGGGCCAGTCAAAGATGAAAGTAGACGACGTCATTGAAGATTTACCCATCAGTGATGGTAATGATTTGTCATCGATTACTGGAGGTGGTATTATGGATGGTGATCCAGAATCACTAAATACCATACAAGATTGCATTGTTAGTCGTCTTGACATTAGTAAACTAAAAAACCATCGTTCTTACTAGAAGATCGGATACGAATCATCAGGTGAAATTCTTTCATCAAGACCGTCCTCTCAATCACATTTTGTTTGTATATATACAGCACCGATAGAACGTACCGATGTAGGATAATGGATGATTTTATCTCGTATGAATATCGAACATAATGTCCAAGGAAATGCTATCAGTGAAATCTCATGTTCATCGACTTTACAGAAACGAATAATAAACTCGACATCCGATGTTAGTTTCGCATCAATAAAGAATCAACCGTTTCAAGGCGAAACCGATCTATTTGTTTTGACAATGTGTGATAGTTAACCGTCAGATATTACCGATGGTTATTTGTATCTTATCGACGCCAATAAGGAATCGAACATACTACAAACATTAACACCAATTGAAATTTCACCAACAGATTTTCTATCACCAATCGATGTACCAAATGCTGATTTTCTTCTTAGTGCTATTGCTTTATTACGAGATGGTTCTAGAATTCAACGTCAAAAAAAAAACGACTCATATCACCAGCATCGATCTCATTAAATATCGATAATCAATCATATCGTGTTCTTCTCAACAGTACAGTGTCTATGAATTCTACACTTTACAACCATGGCCGTACTCAACTCCGAATGGTTGTTCGTGTAACCAATACGATGGGTTTTCTATCATCGGATGATATTCAAAACATCAATAATATCGCTGGAATGAATCATCGAAGCGATACAATTGAATTGCCAACAAGAATGCTAAACCAAACAAATTCAAACTTAACCATGATGACAGATTCAGTTTTATTTAGTATTGCTGTATCTGGTTTTGAATATGGTGAGACTGCATCAGTCTACATTCAGCAAACTGAGATTTTGCTCACTAATCAAACTAATTATCAAGTACCATCAAAAGGTAATGATATCAGCAAGCAAAATTTATACCTATTCAATTTGCTTTACTTCTGCGCACAATTTATATCTATAAAACCTTTTGATTTTTCTTGTACCGTAAAGTGCAAGTGTTAGAGACAGACTGTTGTCTTAGTTTTCACGCGTGACTTCTTGCTGAATGACTTACCTTTTCAGTTTGATAAAGAAAATATATACACCAAAATATTCTTCAGTTTATCAGACTATTTTCAATCGTCTTCTGTGAATTTAATCATAAATATTTGTGTTCTTTTTCAACAACGTATTGGCTTAGCATCAGTAATCCTACCTTTTGTCCATACATCTATCGAATAACTTCAAAGAAATGACGTTTTTATTGAAATAATCAGTTTTATTACCATGATTTACTCATCCGACTAAAATACAAAGATACGTCAAAAACACAGATACACATACAGTCACATTTTTCCTAATCGGTGATGTTGTTCGAGAATAATGTGGTCGGATCAAGATTTTCATTTTTCGAAAGATAAATTGAATTTCTTCTGTGTATCGTATAAATATTGCCTATTTTTATGTTTTGTCGTGTGCTTCTTCTTAGATTCATGCCATATTGGCGATTCTTGTAGTGAAATGATATTTGAAATGTGACTGTCAGATAAGCACAGTGACATCATCGAAAGAAACAGTGTTATGTCGACCATTGTGCGAACTGTATTTTTGACAATACTTCAGTAAAATCCAAGAGATACTGAAAACAGTATTCGTTAAATAGAAACAATCCTTTTCATTCCTGATTCCATGGTGCCATCGATAAGATCCATCGACTCCACAGAAAATTAGACGAAGACATTAAAGAAAACACATGTAGAGAATCCTTGTAACGCCTTGAGAACTAATAACCTCTTCAATAGTTAAACCTAGTGGTGCCTGTTCGTAACTGATATGCAAATACGTCGAGCTTTCATACCATGCTGTAAACCATGAGTGTGAAAACACTATTTCGTGTTCATGAAAGTCTTATCTATACACAATTACTAGATCAGTCGCTAGAACCCCATAATTGTAAGGTTTAAACATTTTGATCTGGTTGCTTACAAGTGCTTGGGTAGTGGGAAAATATATCTTGATTTGGTGCTTGACATCACAAAATTTTATCACTGTCTAATGCAAGACATTCTAACGTCAATAATTCTTATGAAACTAGACATTTGAACTCTTGCTGATGTCAATAATCATTTTTATTCATTCCTATCTAGGCTCTTGTTATGGTTGGCTCAAGACTTGCTAGAAAGCTGTTTAACAAACACAAAAGAAATGTTTTTTCTTTTCGATATATATATTTCCTCAATGAAAACATGTAAAACGAACTATTTAGGAAGCAAGCGTGATTACTAATACAATTTTTCAAAGTTTTTTGATTGTCAACTTCCTCTATGTCCCTCATTCGATACAATGTGGTGTTAGAAAAGTATTAAAATAATCTGCTGACTATTTTGAAATTAGTTATCAGGCTAATAAATCATGGTTCTCCGTTCTATCCGTCATCTTTTGATCATATTTGCTTGCAAGATAATAAACGATACATCATATTGCTGTAAATTTCTTATCCTTTTTTGTGTCGAGTTGACTTACCTAACTGAGATATATTTTTGGTCATCTAAATTCGTCACTATGCTTGAGTTTCTACTCACTTTCGGCGAAAATTTCTATCCCACAACAACCCTTTCAAAATGGCATCTCAACTTTCAACTACGCTTGCTTTTCAGTTTTTTTGTTTTCAACAATGCATATTAATGATAACTTCTTCTTTTAGCTCATCCTTAATTACTTCAAAGTACCAAAATTAGTCCTATTATCATAATAGTTATACAAATACTGATGAGAGGTGATCTGAAAAAACTATTGAAGAAAAATGTTGAACGACACTATCCCTAGTCGAGAATCCCTAAACGACTCCCTGGAAAGTCCCACACTTACCCTCGGTCTGTAGTGGAATCCCTATCATGATTCCCCAGGGACTTCGAGGGGATTTTATAATGAGATTTTACTAGGGATGGATATTATGATAAGAACGTCGTGTTCAATCGTTTGCAGTCGTCATAAGTCTCATGATATATTTCTGGGAAGTTCCTGACAAATTCTCAGGAATTCTCTAGCAAATCCCCAGGAACTCCCACATAAATCCCTGGGGACTTCTAAAGTCCCTCGTAAATCCATAGAGAACCCCTGATGGGATTCCCAGGAAATTTTGACAGAGACTCTCCAGAGATTCGTTTAGGGATTCTTGACTAGGAATGTCCCATAAAATCCGAACATTTTTTTCTTCGAGAATTATCCCAGGTGGAACAAGCACGGTCGTAAACGATCGTATACGAAAAAATACGATCAAATACATGGCTCAGTATTACGATCGTAAATCTTCGTGTCGTATACGGAGAAAAATACCGTCATTTACGGTTTTCGTATATGCAGTCCGTAATCGTCGACCTGGGATCTTAAAAACACTGTTATAGCCTTTCGTAGACGGTATGTCAAATAAATTGGTGAAAGAGGCCGAATTAATTGATTTACTCAATATCTCTCAGTATAATGATGATCCAACAAGAGCTGCCAGCAGTCCACGGTAAAAGTTACAAAGTAGTCTGAAGCCTGGCCTTTCGATAAAAACCCAGGCCAATTGCTGTTGCTAATTTTACTAATACGTTTAATTCTAGAACTCTGCATTACTGTATTGTTCTAACTAGTTTCATTTGTTCACTTAATTTATTTCCATAAAAATAAGATAAAAGCAAACTCTTGCACTAAATAGTCAATTAGAAGACGCGAGACAATGGCAAAGCGCGGTGGCAGAACAATAACATGTTTGTTTCTCAAGAATTAGTATGATGCTCGAGCCGCCTCTCCCATCGCACCATGTTGATACAATACCGTTTTGCTTTACACGTCTCAAGCAACTTGTTAGTTAATGATTCATAAATTATTCTTTTTACACCAATATGATTTGAAGCTGCAAATCGTTCTCATCAAGTATGTTTTATGTGCTTTATGCTTGTGTTTTGCTTTAATTGCTTTCGCTCTTCACAAGTTACTTGTAATCAACACCATTTCCCTTCAGGAGGTCTCATGAATAGACGGTTAAATAAACCGAAAATAAATGAAGCAAAGAGACCATATAACATTTTTTTTCATACAAGAAAAACTTGAATGAATACAATGTTTTTTATCATATCAGTTATGTTTCATACAATTGAAAAAACGCAGTCATTATAACATAAATAATGCTTGATTAGGTTTACAAGGAAGAGATAAAAGAAGACATCACAACGAAAATGCACGAAATAAGCAATACACATAATAACAGACATGGACGTTTACGTTTGGAAACCAATTTTCTCAGCGGTATGAGCGCAGAATTTACCTTCCAATCGTTTTGAATCCAAACTAATTCTTCTGTCAGCTCATCTAATTCATATAGCACTGAATTGACGCTAGGCTGAAGCATTCGTTGCTGGATTCCATGAATTTCTCAAAGTATTATCGAATAGTAAGGCGATGCGCCAACTTTTGATTTTCAAAATGTAACAGCTATCTCGAAAATGTTGGTCTGCTCCAAAAGACGTCTATCAGGCAGCAGGCCAGCTTGACATCTCGGATTCAAAGAACATGAGTTAAATGAATAGAGAAACTTTTTAGAGTCTTCAAAAATTCAATCTTTGCTTGATCAAAACTCAGTTCTTCAATCGTAAAGAAATGTTCGTTCTCAATGATATTGGAATGTTATGGATATAAGATGACGGTGTTAGCGAAGAAGAATTTT